GGTTATCAAATATCAATTTAAAACACGTTAAACTTGACAATAACAGAGGTAGACTTAGATCTCGAGCATTTGTTGAATTGATATATACATTCAGATATTTTAGGTCAATAGTTTGCAAAAGAAGTTCAAGTAAACTGTGTATTTGACACCATGAAATCGATAATTTTTCAACGTTAGAGCAGATGGCTTTATTCATCACTCCCAGGGAGAAAGTGGTATCACCAAGAGTAGTCAGAAGTATAGTTTTTAGATTCGACATTTCGGCGAATAATATTGACCAAGCAGTGCTAACATCTGTTAAATTGTAATCCGCATTCGTCAACTGAACTTCAATGAATGTCAGTTGTTTTAACTGTTTTAGTTTGGGCGTGATGTAGTTGAATGTGGAACGGTTGATTTTAAATAGTAACAACGTATTGAGCTTAGTGCACTCAGCTAAATTGTGGAGCTTAAAAAATTGAATTATTGCGTTGTTCCACTCAGTTTTACAGTGAAGAGTTGCTGTGCATAGTTACTGCCAATGTCTGACAAATAATAATAATCGAATTTGGCTGTTCTTGTTAAGTCACAGTCGAGACAAAGGTGATCGTCGTTAAGAATAGAGTTCAAGCGTGAATTAAGGTTACCAGCTATACTTCAAGAGCATCCGATCTATCCGAAGAGGGAGTTAAGACTCTTCTTTTCGCATTATGCCCGAATATTATTTCGAAAAACAAGAAGGAAAGGACTCCTTTAGAGTATGATCCTTGGCGAATGAATGTACCAGATCGCATATATCAAAATATTCAAATAAGTCTAGCACTAGTTCGTTTGACAGGCATTCGAACCTGCTTGACATCCTGGAAGCGATGATCTGAAATCATTGTTAGGAAATGCGATCATAGATTCATAAAATAATGATATTCTGATTCTCAAAAAGGGATTTGGTCGTTCAACACGAGAAAAAAATGCGAAGTTTCTGAAAAACTGTCCTTATCACTTCGCACGTGTTTAGCTACGTCAACAATTCTTTTTTATTATTTTTCCTTATTTCTGAATTACAACAGTTACTTTTTACTACACATGTAAAAGGTAAAAAGAAATATTACTGAGATACTTTGTCAATAAAATGACTGAGGCATTTTTTTCTCTTATTCAGATAAGAAATCACAAAAGTATTGTAAGGTTTTTTTCTTGAAAACGGAATGGGTACCAGGTACCTCGGTCACATATGTCGCATGATCAATGACGAGTTACCATAAAAACTTTTTCTTCAAAAAGTGACGTCATATTCATGCTCAGCTGATTCATTTGTTTGGTGTTTAGAAGTGACTATTTCATTATGGAAATCTTATACTAACACAGCCATTCGCCGAAAAGCATAGCTATTTTCGTCCGACCCCGCTGCCGCACCACCAGAGCTAGGAGCACCAACCAAATTTAATTAATTAATAACACCGGTAATACTTGACTAAATTTTGTTTTATTACATAGACATAGCATTGAAGATGTTATCTACAAGCGAACCACGTTTGTGGATATGTTAGGGGTGCCCCACGTCCATATTTGTTCACGATTTTTGCAGAATATGTGTGAAAATCTGATTTCTCAGAAGTTTCTATCTCAAGTCCTCGAAGTGTAGCGTGGCGTTTCTTCATCGAAATATATAGAAGTCGACGCGCTCTTTCAGTTGATACCAACTTCGAGGTTCTACATTAGAGAATGTAGTCAGCAGACGTTCTACAAATCAGGCCGAATCCACAGGAGAATGACGAAAATACATTTTTTCGCTGCGAGGATAAAACGGCTATGACTTTTTTTCTAACGCGGTCAGAGACTTGCAATTTTCACCATTCGGTTCGGCTTGTTGAGCTCTATAATATGAGGTAGGGTATAACTTTTTCGGCGTAGCGGGCGATAACATTTATATTTTTTCCAATGAAGGTTTATGATCTACAGTATGTATCAATAGAAAGCTCTTTCAGAACTCTACAAAATAGCTGTTAATGCAGTGCGAACACTCACTTCTTCGGATATTACTACTGGAGAGTGGTGTTTGCAGCATCGACAGATAGGGTCAGTCCATGTAAATGTAATACTGGTATTGCTATGTGTTACACATAGGCAATACCAGTATACCATTGTCAGTTACTACTCTATGGTGATTTTAAACGAGCATTATGCATCAGTGACTCTGTGAAATTTTCCACAAAAAGAATTATGAAACGGTTCGATTACTCAAGCGTCTACGGTCAACCACTGCGCTTTATATACGTTAATTTAAACTAAGTTTATTAAACAACAAATCGAGCTATGCCCATTACATGTTGTTCGTGGAGAAACCCACATGTACACATACATTCTTCAACTAGATGGTGCTTAGCGAGGTCAAAGTTTAATTGACTGAAATTTACTCTCCAACGGAAAAAATCAATATCAGTCATGCGGTCCTCGGCCACAGATAGTCGAAACTTTAGTACATGCGGTAATTTTAGTTTGTTTTTAAAACTATGAAATCGTGTCTGTGATCGAAGGTCATAGGGAAGTTCGTTCCAAAGCCTAGTGGTTCTGTGAATAAATGACTCTTGTAAGACTTTGATACCACCGAGATGCATTGGTAATTTACCGTTGTTTTGACTACGTAAACGATAGGTACAGGTATTCGCTGGTGTCAATAGGTCATCCAAATCATATATTTTGTTCACAATTTTAAAGAAAAAACAAAGACGATGAATGTCAAATAAACCAAACTGAGCTATTTTGCCACTGACTATTGTACTCAAGAGCGGAATCTAGAGGTCTGCGGGACCAAACGTTTTTGGTCCCGGTCCCGTGGTCCCGTAAATATTTTTTCAAAGAAAATTTTTTACTCATACAAGACTATTTTCAAAAAAACCTGATCGCGGACTATTAAAAGTTTCACGGGACCGGGACCGTCCTGCAGACCTCTAGGTCTCGGTCCCGTAAAAAGTCCCGCAGGACCGGACTGGGACTGTCGCGCAGACCTCTAGCGGAATCCATCCTAGTTCACTAATTACCTTTTGGTGCGAACTATCTGACATAGCTTCTGTGACAGCAAGGGACGCGTGGTATTGCAGAGTAACTAGACGCTTCAAATTTTTTTCATTTGTTGAAGAATATATAACGCTAGTATAGTTAATACAACTCAAAATATATGCATTGTAAACCAGACTGAGCACGAGACGAGGTAGAGTCCTGCTCAGAAATTTCAAACAGCCAACTGTCTTACCACATATAGAAACCAGTGTGTTAATATGTAATGGTCCTAAAATGGAATCCTGCGGGGCGGAACACGAGAAGAATTGTTTAGACGACGTAGAGCCGTCCACCATTGTAGTAATTCTTCTTTGGAATAAATAACTTTGAAACCACTTAAGAAGAGAGCTAAGTAAACCAGCATTTTTTAGTTTTATAAGTAGACCATCATGGTTAACTTTGTCAAATGCCTTACTGAAGTCGGGAAAAGCCACAACCACTGGAGAACCTTGATTGAAACTAGTCGAAATGTGGTGTACTATACGAATGAGCTGAGTCACCGTTGAGTGGTTTCGTAAGAAGCCTGCCTGGTTAGCGTGAAAAAAAGTATTATTACGGAGAAAACCATAAACATGATTAAAAACAATACGTTCAAAGATCTTTGATACAGAATTTAACAATGTAATTGGCCGATAGTTGCTTGGCAACTGAGCGTCTCCAGATTTATACAAACAGTGTACAAAACCTAGCTTCCAAGACTCAGGAAAAATGCCAGTGTTAAGCTACTCGCACTGTTAAGCGAAAAGAGTAGCTAATATCGATGTAATAGAAGGCGCTGCCTCTAACAACATTCTGTTTGTGATGCCAGGCGAACAAGATTTTGCTGTGTCTAAACTTGATAATAATTCAAAGACTTCAGTATCATAAATATGAAACTGCGACATAACACCACATGGAGGTGCTAACATAGGGAACGTCGGATTATTCTGAGAAGGCGTGCAAACTTTTGCAAAATAATGGTTAAGTAATTCGGCTTTATCAAGCGGCTCGCTAACTAATAAGTCAGTATCTGTATCAAGTAAAGGTGGTATAGATGATGAACGGTGTTTACCAATTGTATGTTTCATGAAACTCCACCATTTTTTAAATGACGAGTTCAAATCAGTTGCAAATTTATTAAGGTAATGCCGTTTAGCAGATTTACAGGCTTCTTCGAACTTATCGGCAGCTTGACTGTACGCCTCATAGGAATGGGTCGACGGATACATTGGTAGGGAATATTTTTTATAAAGTTTGTCACGCTGTTTTAACAACTGTTTTAGCTCCTTACTAAACCATGACGCATCTTTGGAAGAAACTGTTACAAATTTATTAGGAATTATTCTATCTGCTATCTCTACAAATTTCGAGCTCCAGACTATCACTTTTGCTGAAATATCAGAAAGTTGATTTATATGTGATGACCGGTCAAAGGAGAATAGCGCACGTCGGAATGAGTCCCAGTTAGTATTCTTGTAGTCGTACGTCCTCCTTTGATATTTGAATGAAGTATTGCTTTTACTACCAAGCGAGAAAAGTAACATAAAGTGGTCACATTTGGTAGAAAGTTTAGGAAGTATATTAACATTAGTAACGGGTGAGATGTTACTCATCACTAACACGTCCAAACAGGTATTCGATTCAGGGCGAGTAACACCTGATACCAACTGATGTAGGCCTTCAACACACGAAAACTGGAATAGTTTATCTCCTTCATCCGTACTTGGTACAGATGGACACCAGTTGAAATAGTGCCCATTAAAATCGCCAGCAAAGATTATAGAGTCGTATTTAGGAGAAGTTGCCTTACGTATAATTTCTAGTGAATTACTTAGACAGAACGGACATGTTTTTTCTTTTATCTAAAAAGCACTACTAAGACACACAGCTATATTCAAATAGTTCAAATTTATATTTATTTAACGATTTATATCACAATCATGTCCACAGAAGAATCACTATCTACTTCTGCTAAATCTGAATCTATGTCGGGTAGATTTACATGTACACCCGACCAATTAAAAGCAATGTTTATTTCAACCTTACAGAATGATTCATCTATCCAAGCCGATGTTCGACAAATATTAGACGCAAATGGTAATGATATTGCTGTCAACGCCGAAAATATAGTAGATGTCATGTATAACAAATTTTCAGCTAAATTCCAGTCTCAGTTAGATGAAATCCAGACGTCGGTTAATGATCAAAATAAACGTTTAGATAAATTAGAAGAACGTATTGAAGATCAAGAACGCTACAGTCGATCATTTTGTTTGCGTTTTGTCGGTTTTCAAGAGGATAAAGGTGATGATACAACAATGACGTTGGTCAACTTCATACGTGAGATTCTACAGGTCGACGTTGACGTAAATAAAATTAAAAATTCTCATCGAATCGGTAAATTTACTAAAGGAAAACATCGAGCAATAATAGCAAGGTTTTATTCGAGACCTACACGTAATGAAATTTTGCAGTCGTTATATCTTCTCAAACAAACAAAATCAAGCATTATAGTATATGAAGACTTAACAAGAACATCATTGGCGTTATTACTATTAGAACGTTCCAGATTAATGGGGTCAGATAATATGTGTTCTCTCCTTCTCTTCATTTTTATCAGTTTGTCATATAGAGAAAGAAGACGTAAATGTGTCCACTTAAGTTTCGCTCATTTCTTCCTTTTCGCCATCGATTCTCACTTCTGTTTTTCAGTCCAATGAATCTCTATCTGTCAATGCTTCGTGCCGTGTCTACTACTGTGTTCTATCTATTGTGTCATTGCGAATATGGCTAAGAGAAAAAAGGTTAACACAAGTACCACTGTACATCACGTCGAAAACGTTAGAAATGCACGGAAGTAATGAATCGAACTGCTTCGAATACAGGCAGCTAAATTACAACTAATTCTGATCGCTGTAGTCGAAACTTGGCTAACTCCTTCTCATGACATAGCACAGTTATACATGAAAGACCATGATTTGTTTTTACGTAAAGATAGAAGCCACAAGCGCGCTGGAGGCATATTAGTATTTATTTATACGGAAAGGAACTGTTGGAAAGAGATTACCCTTGTTCGATAATCCTAATTTTGAAACATGTTTTCTAAAACTAAATACAATCTCTATGAATAATTACCTGATCTCTGTTGGGTATCGTTCTGATTGGGTCAATATGTTAGATTTTTTCTAGCCATCGATCTACAATGCTGAACTAACTTTAACAATTTATTAGTCAAAACTATAGAGAAAACCATGATTTACAGAAATAAAATATCATATGAGCGTGCGACACAATTCTTTCAACACACAGTAGCTTTGACAAACATCAAAGGGCTATTCTACTCTCTATCCACTGTCTGTTCAGTGAAGTAGTGGGCTCGACTATTTTAGACAGCTGCTGTAGAGAGTAATAGTTTTCAGCATTCAACAATGTTTTTCTTGTCTTCAAAAATAAATTCTTACATTTTTTGAAAAGTAGAAATTTGAAGTGATTATTGGAAAGTCAGGTTATAGTTTAACTTCAAATATAAATATGTAAGTTTACTTTCATAAATAAATAGTCTAAGGTGTTCTCGCCAAAGTCGGAGTCGGCAGAACTACTTCTATTCCAGTTTAAGCACACTCTTAGAGTGCTACCAAGTAGACAAAATAAATCATCCGAGAAGAGCAGTGAGCTTTCGAAACTCCCAAATGCCTTCATTCGAGTCATCACACACCTGTCCTAGCATTATTTCATGCATCTGTTTGGATTTTTTTCACTAGATTCCACCAAATATGTTTCAATGGCTTCCTACATCATAGTCAAAGTGAGGAAAAGAAAAATTACCTTTCAAATGACGTAACTTCATACAACGAGCATGTCATTTTGTCTTCAAAGTAGGTAATGAGCATTAGTATGAATACTAAACTTTCTATAGTTTAACAGCATGATCATGAGTATTTTCAAATACATTTGAACGAAATCTTTGCTGACATCTAAGAAAGAATTCATCTCCTTCGATCGATAAACTGAATATTATCATTTGAATGACTGATAAAAAAATATGCAATGCAAGTATGACTATTATGCACTCTAAACATTTAATTCGGAACGAAGACATTGATGAACTTTTTTAAAATTACAAAAAAGATCCCACCCGGTATAACTTTGTGATATTGTATCGAACTCATTAGTTTCAGAGCTACAGTTCATATTATGATTAAGATTTGACAGAAGGATTATTCTTGGTTAGTAGTATATGTAAAACTAAAGATACAATAAGAAATCGTTCATATTATCATTTAATTTTAGTGATTGACAAGAGTGCATCTATTTCTGTGCTGTTTTAAGATTTCTTGAGTAAGACGAGCTTTATAGGCATCCAATGTGTTCTGTAACAGCATAACCACCGTCATTGGTCCAACTCCACCTGGTACAGGCGTAACTAAACTTGCACGTTTCCAAAGATTATCAGTTTTTTCAACATCGCCACAGATTGTTATTTGTTTTGTTGCTTTGTTTTCCATTACAGTAATGCCTGCATCGATCACAACAGCACCTGGTTTAATCCAATCTGCTTTCACTAAATTAGCGACACCAGTACTGGCTATCAGAATGTCGGCCCGTTCTACTTTTGCTCGTACATGATTTGTTTGCACTGTACAGATTGTGACGGTGCAACCAAGACTTGAAAGAGCCAATGCTAATGGAAGACCAACCGTTCTCGAGGCACCAACAACGCAGACAACTTTACCAGGTAGTTTAATATCATAAAATTCCAGTAAGTGAAGTATACCACGAACTGCGCCAGGAATGAATGAAGTAGGCGAAGATGGAGAAGTTGCACATGAGCATAAATCAGCTAACTGTAAGGAATGTAATCCATCCACATCTTTTTCTAAACAAATTGCATCTAGAATGCGTCGACGATCGAGCTGTTGAGGCAATGGCAATTGAACTAGAATACCATCAACCAGAGGATCATTATTCCATTGATTAATTTGTCGTAAAATAACTGCTTCTAGTTCATCCATGCTCTTTGTTTGATTGTCTTTAATTTCTATTACCTGTGTAAGAAAGCCAAGATTTGAAGCAAGGATGTTTTTCTTTCGAACATACAATAATGAGTCACGACGACTACCAACAAGAAGACAAGCTAAACCCGGTGAACGAAGTGTTAAACCAGCTTCGATTGCTCGAGTTTGTAAAGATTTAATCTCCAGACCAATATTTGTTTGAACATGTTTAGCAATTTCTTTACCATTAATAGGAATCGCTGTTTCACGTCCAAGTTTCTTTAGATGCCATGGTGTAATGACTGGTGGAATTTTATGAACAAATGAACGACGAGCTAGACTATAAGAAGAATTTCGAAAATTTTCTGACATTTTGGCCAGTTCAGTGGATCGACATGCGGCCAATTGCTCGTAGAATAATGGACCATGCTCTTCTTTTTTCTTTTTTATCAAAGTATCATATGTAGCATTGATTTTTAATGACTGTGCTATCATTTCAACTCTTGTTAACAATTCATCTGGTGACTGACACAAAATACGATCAATTAAGTGGATCTCTTCTGCTTTCTGAGCTGATAATGGTTCACAAGCTTCTGTTATTTGACGTGCTTTATCAAAACCAATACGACGAGATAAGTTATAAGTCCAATATTCACTTCCATACAGACCCATTGTACGATAATGTGGATTGAGAACTACTTCCGAGTTAGCATAGACGTAATCTGCTGCTAACGACATCATCACACCTCCAGCACCCGCACTACCTTGTAGTGCTGATATTGTTATTTTATTTGTCATTGACATAATTTTCAAAATGACATCGTTAAGTGCGTTGATATTGGCCCAACTTTCATTGTATTGATCTTCAGCAGCTTCGATCACGTTGAGATGAATCCCGTTACTAAAATAAGTGCGTCCACCACACAGTACAAGGATCTTAACATTGTCAATTTGTTCAATTTCATAGAGAGCTTGCAAGAGATGTTGACATTGTGTTGTTGACATTGCACCATTATAAAAATTGAAATGTAGAAAGACAATATCGTTCTTTTTTTCATAATAAATTTCATTAAAAGTTACATTTGTAGGTATAGTATTAAAGTTGATAGCTAAAACAGGTAGAGTAGCTAACTGGACAGGATCTATTAGTTTTATTGCTGGTAATTTAAAGTTATTCTTTCCAGCACGTTTCGTATGTGTTATCCAAACAGCTTCTCCGTTACCGTCTTGACATGAAACCAATATGGCACCATCACGTTGACCTAACAGTTGTTTCGATGGTGTATTTGGAGATATTTTAAGTAGCTTTTCAATATGTGCACCGTACAAATACATTCCATTTTCAAAAAGTGCAGTATCCAACAGACCTGGATTTGAATCACGTGAAGATATTTTTCGTGCAACTGTTCTTGCATCATCTTCTTCCCAATTAATTGCACATTGTGATTGTTTCATTGTTGGTTTAAACCTTCCTCTAACCGTAGGAATAGAATAATCAAGTGGAGTTGGTTTAACTTGTTCGATAAAATTTTTCACTGCTCTCTTTATAGATTGTAATGCAGCAGGTACAACTTGATTATGATAGACTTTTGATTTAGTCAATTGTGAGAGTGGTAGATTGGCAAGAGAAAAATTTTGTGTTGCATAAATTGGACCTGCATCCATCTCCTTGCCAGCTTCCATAATTGTCACACCCCATTCTTTTTGCTCGTCGAGTAATGCCCAATCTAAGCTATGTATACCACGATCACCAACAATACCTGGATGAACAACTAATGTTTTAATTTTTGTAAACAAACTTTCAGGTACGACTTTTGTTAAAAATGGACATATGATTAAATCTGGATTTAATTCAGTTGCAACCTGTTGCATTTGTGATGATGACAAAGCTATTTCAATCATAACCTTATGTCCCATTTGGGTCAACATTAAATAAACAGCTTGTGACATCGAATTATGCGCATTTGTTAGAAGTAGAATACGTAACTTCTTCGACAATCTTTTCTCTTGCTCTGATCGACAGATTGTATCTTCAAATTGATGTGTATTTGTAACATACTGGGAGCTTATCCGTTCTTGTTGTTGTGGTTGAATAAACGTAAATAAATTTTCATGTTCAGCATGAGTAGGAAATTTTGGTTGCTGAGTTGCAAAGGAAAACTTTTGTGCACGCCACAGTAAACGGTTTATCGACGCCATAGTTGAACGAAACTTATGGATTAATGACATTCTTCTTGTATGAATATTCTTTTCTATCGAACAGAATAACTTTGAAAAAGAAATGTAGCTATTGTATCTACAATGGAAAAACTACACCTAGCTACTTTAAGCTACTATCAACATCGAATGGCAAAAATGAACCACAACATAGTTCAAAAACATACACTTCATCATAACCTACCTTCATTCTCGGTTAGATAATATAGCTTTTGTAGACATATGTTCTTATCTTCATTCTCAGTTCCATAGCGCATTTTCTGCATGTATATGCGTATTTGATTCTTAACTTTCACTCCTCAAGATAAGCAGAAGAGATAACCGATGTTGAAAACAAATCAGTACATGCATAACTTATCAGAGCCCGAAACGAAGTGAGGATTCGTCGAGGTATTTCGCTTCGCTTCGTCTAAACCGAAGCGAGACGAGACGATTTGAAGTTTTGAAATCATCAGTCGAAGCGATGCGAGGCGCAGCAAGCGACGGCCGAGTGGAAGCGAACCGATTCAAAAATGGCTACCTCGGAGTTTTATTTAGCATCTGTTTCTTGCAGAGAAAAATTGTTTTTTAATGAGATGCTTTTCAATTTTTATAAGAAAAAGAAAAGAGATGAAGTGTGATCACTGCTTTCTCCCAGTCAAAGGCTTACGAGGGAAACTATCCAACTGTCGGACGCCGTTTGACTCCATATTTTGGCTATAAGTAGGACTCAGTGAGACTAAGAAAATCCTAAAAGGGTTCGGGCCCATGACTCTTGAAGACCCCGTTTTCTGGAAAACCAGTT